CTGTAAATTTATTCCATATATAGTTGAAAGTTGAAACACAAGGGACATCGACATCATCCCGTGATTTGAGTACAATATTCATGTCCAAGAGAAAAGGTCAAACACTTCAATTATAATACGTTGTTAAAAGGAATAATAATTGTGTTAGAAAATATGAACAAGTTCATAATGTCTTGTAAAATAATTGAGACAAAACACCAAACAATTTGGCTGTCTGGAAAGTCATTTTGGAGCAACTATGATTTTCTTTCTTCTTTTTTCTCTCATTCCTTTGAAACAGGGTTGAACAGCAATCTCCAAAAGCAATAAAAAAGATGGGATGCATATACTCGAAGGCGATTGCACGATCGATGAGCGTTAGAGACGAACTAAGTGATCATGGCTTCCGAAGCTCGGCAGTCGCTTGGGAAGAGTTACTCTCTTCCCATAGTGGCACGGACCAGCTCTTTGCCTTGGTCCGCTCGGCAACACAGAGGCCAAGCGATATGACCCTACCATCTGCACGTGATCCTGATGGAAAACGAGACTCTGGCACATTTACTAGGTCAAGAAGCTATGACCAGATGACTAGAGAGTCCGGGCACAAGCTCGACTGGGAATACAAGAGTCAGACGGGTTCTAGAAGCTTCCACACGGTGGAGGAATACGATGCCATGCTCGAGAGGATTCAGAAATTCAGAACAAGGAGTGTACAACACTTTGAGGACTGCAATTCACCCCAAGATGTTGTTGGCGATAAAAGTCGAACCCGAGAGCCACATGGAAATAATTTTGAAGATCTTGAGAGAGTTGTGCAAGTTGATAGTAGCACGAGAGAAACGGGTTGGAAGAGGAAGGCCGCGGTTAAGGGGCTCACCCCACTCGATGTGCCGTCTATCGAGTTCCCAGCAGGCATCGGGAGGAACGAGAGGCAGCTGGTTGATGTGGAAGGAGAGCAAATTTATTCGGCCGAGACTTACGTGACTCCCAAATTCGGGAGTTATAATGGAAGAGTTTATTCTAGAATGCAAGAAGGAGATGGTACAGGGGAGAATCCGGTTTTCAGTCGAGAACTGTTGGCAGCATTTGAGGATTGCATGCAGCAGCTACAAGAAGAAGAAGAGAGCATCATTTGGCAAATTGGTGCGGACTCGCTGGCCGAGGACGAAAACAGTAAGCAAAGTTCTCACGACAGATAAAGTATCAGGATCATATATATGTATGGATATACTCTATTGAGAATTGAAACTAAGCTCTTGTGCAAATTTGAAGCTCCATTAGAGTGAAACAAGATCTGATGCTCATACTTCGGTTTTGTATATACCAAAGGATGATTGTCGCACATTTGCATAATTAAGTAATTAACGTGTTTTTTATACGTGATCACATGTCATGAATCGAACACCTTAAAATGAAAACGCTGATGTAAACAATAGAAACCAACTGAGCAGGCGCAGAAAGTATCCTCTCAACCCAGAAAAAGTCTAGTGTTACAAATTGTTCTCCCATACTATACACATCCATCACCAAGTGACACTACTACGAAAACTTCAGCCTTGTGCTCGAGGATAGAAAATTTGAGTCACACGCAATCACGGCCTCGATTATTTACTTCGCTGACACCTGTCACTATTATTCGAAGTAAACAACAGTTGGGCCAAGTTATGACAGAAGTCACACTCACCACTATTCAGATTCAGATACCTTCTAAATGGACTCATAATGGTTCACATTCCACACTATAGAGAGTCCAGATAAGAATTGCTCGTGCTCCGATTGTACTGAAGGAGGCTCCCGTACGTGCGGTCCCACACGCCAATAAAAAGAGACGCGGTATCAGGACTGAAAGAGACTCCAGATATTTCGCCAAAAAAGTCTATCTCTTGCTCCTTGTCATAATCGCTCTTAACTTCGTACAAATGGACGAAATCGGCGGGCTCAGCCATAGCCATAAACTGACCGTCAGACGAGAAACGGATGGACCGGATGGCGCCAAGGTTCCCTTTGAGTACGTAAACTGATTTGGAAAGGTTCCTAGCGTCCCACACCCGGCAGGTCTTGTCCTGGTTCCCGGTAACAAAGAAGTGGCCGTTTGGGTGCCATGCGGAGGCGAAAGAGAAATCGAGATGCCCGGAAAGAGTAGCAATTGTCTAAGAAAAAAAACATCACCACAGAAGCCACAATGAATATTATATTATATCAGTAGGAAATTGGGATCCCAAAAATTCTTGGTTCTGTATATCATTTTAAAAAGTAATTTTACCTTCCCGGTTTGAGAATCTACGAGTATTCCCTCAGGATTGTCACCGACAATAGCTAAAATCTTGGTATCTGGACTAAGAGAAGCATGCTGCATATAAGTTAACAAGAGCGTCAAACATATTCACCTACCAAGAAAAGTCGAGCTCGAGCCTGCTCTCTCCATTCCTCTCTCTCTCTCTCTCTCTCTCTCTCTCTCTCTCTCTCTCTCACACTCTCTCTCACACACACACACACACACATAAACACATACACTGACCAATATGCAATGGAATCTAAGAAGTCGAGGCACATACAATCATACTTCACTACATCAGTATAAGGTTTGTTCACACCAATTAAATACTATAACTTTAAGAATCTTCTTGATTCCATAAGTGAGAAACTACATGAGTTATACTCGTTCAAGCTTACATGTAAGAACAAATGGAGTAAATCAAAAGTAATCTGTAACATTTAAGTTAAACACCATTTCAAAGCAAAGTGACAAGTTCAATGGACTATGTTGAATCGAATACAAACATGGCAACAGCAAACTGTGAATTGTGACCCAACTCCTTCAACAGTAACTTGTGCAATTTTTCAGCAAGTGGATCATCTCCCACATGTGCAGTAACTAACTGTATGTGGCATCACGATATTTCAGGAACATATTGCAACATATTTATCAAAGCAGCAACTATGCAGGTGCAAACTTAGAGGCTTACCAACAAATTTAAATATAAGATAGCCTTATCACACTAGCATTAACCATAAAAAAGTTGCCTGTCATTATCCACAAGCAGGGCTTGAAGTGGAATTTTTAACATGGATGGCAGGAGTTGGGACATTTAGGGATGCAAATTATACACAAAACAATAATGATGCTGACATGAGGAGATTATGCAATGGAACTTAAAATTTCAAAGATTATAAATTTTCAGTAACATGGTCAAATCTTAGATACGTCCAACTACAAGAAAAAATTTAAGATATATCAGATATATAACTTACATTTACAGGCCACGGATAACAGAAATGCTTCACAAGCTGAAATCTCTCCATGTCAAAATCCCGTACTCTACAATCATTATTTGAAGCTGTGAAATGAACAGCGCCACTGGTAGTGGTATAAACCTAATTAGTTGGAGAATATGGGTAGATTTAAATTGCATTTCAGCTTTTGCGACTTTCTGCTTCGGGGATATTAGTTAAGGAAGTTAATTGGGAGGTTCACCTTGGATTATCATAGATCTCGATTGCATTTGTCATAGCATTTTCTTCACAAGTCGTCCTCGTGCAAAAGCTAACACCAGGTCCGTCTAGGTACTGCATCAAATGGACAATTCTTCAATCAACCATCACCAAATGAAGAAAGATTCAAAACACAGATTTACACTCATTGATGTGGTCTAGCTATCCACAGTAAACACCTGTATTATTTTAAAAACCTATCTTCTATTTCCTGGTGCATAATAGGAAATAGAAAATGAACAGGAAACAATTCAGTAGTTAAAAAAAGAAAGTCCTTAGTTCGAAACTGTTTAATCTCTTGATCTAATAAGAAATGAACTCATGGATGGCTCGGCAATATTCCTTTTCAATTAAAAAAAAAAAGAAAGAAAGCCAGCTCTTGATCGACAGACAGAAAAATGTCAAATTCAAGCATTCACCTAAAGAGAAAAATACCTTGCAAATAAGTTCTCCTTGGAACCCTCCAGCAATCAACAAATTATCACGGACAGCCATAGTACTTACTTGAGTCTGAGATAATCCTTCCAGTAAACTCCCAGGGTGTCTCTGTATGACATGATTGAAGTATCGCAATCGGTTCACAACATAGAGAACACAAAGGTATATATCTTAAACGACTCAACTTAGGATCAAGTAAAAGATATGCACCTCGGAAGGAACCACTTGACCAGAAACATTAAGAACTTCTGTCTTTCTAGAACTTAGTGAAGACCAATGGATAATAGAGAAATGTGACATTAAATAAACATCATGCTTTGATGTCGACCAGACTAGGTTCCTCAACTGCAATCAGATATCAAGATCCAAGAAAAGTTATTCCTGATATAGACAGTAATAATTTTCGAATAGAATGAAAGGTTTTTGTGAATTGGTGTTTATACATCCAATTACAACAAAATTTTAAATCTAAAAGTTATCTAATACAGAAAACTGAAGACTCAGAGCATGCTTGGCGCCACTATGGAACTTAACACAGAACCTTTCACCTAGTTTTGTTGTGGGTTTATAACATAACAACACTGAAATCTGAAGTTCTGAACATGACGTAATATACGATAAATTCCCATGGAAGCAACACGAGCAAACTAGGATAATGAAAATAAGGAACAACCAAGTAAAGGAACTGAAGAACATTCACGTATAATCTTATTATTTAACGAGAACTTAGCATATACTGAGCAAAATGAATGTTGGATATAAATAACAGAAGATGCTATGGCATCAAGCCTGCATCGTGATATCCTGCATTGACTGCGACGGAGCGAGTAACTTTACACCAAAATTCCAATCAGTATCCATCTAATATGACAGCACACTATATATCATCATAACAACTAAATGCCAGATCATTATTGAATGTTTTCCAATGCAGCCAAGCAGACCAGTGCAAAGTATTGTCCGTCTGTAGCATTCAGCTGTGGTGAGTCAGCTGATCGATATGGAGACAATTAT